TTCCCTAGAAAAGACCCAGAGTCCTCTGGTGCACGGCCGTCATCCTTAAAAAGAGGCCAGCAGCCCTCGGAGCCCCGACAGCTGAACAGTGCGCCCATCTTTGTATTTGTTCCAACGGCCTCTCTAAGTGACTGAGAAGTCGCAGTGGCAGTGAGTTCAGCTGACGTCCAGTGAGGAAAAGCAACATAAAAAGCTTAATGGGCTGTTTCCCTGAAACACCTTTTCAGTTCCTTAAATTAGCTGGTTTCCAACAAAACGGCCACTGCCATGTACACTGCTCTTGGCACTGAAGGAACCATGGTTGCATCGCGAACGATCTGCATTTGTTTAACAGATAACTTACTTTAGGTCTCACTCTGCGTTCAGGGTTATGCTGGGTGCTCTGCTGAGCACAGATAAAGACAAGGCTCGGTTCCTCTTTTGAAAAGCCCGAGAGTTAGACAGCAGTTGAAGCAGCATTTAATTATGACTGAAAGTGAGTACACGAAAGAGGAACGCTCTAGAACTGAGTGTTGGAAGCTTCTCAGAAAAGTTTAGGTTGAAACAGTTTTGACCAGTGGATTTTGGTATTGGACACTTTGTACCAGTTGGACGGATGCTTAGCAATGAGGAAGATACTTCCAAGTCAATCGTTTGCATGTTGTAAAATACTAGAGTTATTTGAGAGGATTTTAACTTAACTTTGTCTTAATATTCCTGTGCTGAATTTTGCTTTTGATTGGCATTCAACTGACCTTTATTACCTATCACTTAGATAAGGAATTACACGGAATGCACCTGTGTCCAAAGCCGGCAAGTCATCACCCCACCCACAGTGGGACAGCGCAGCCAGCTCCACGTGGTCATTGTCAAAACTTATCTCAACGAGAATGGCTATGCTGTGTCTGGGAAGTGCAAACGGACCTGTAATACCCTCATCCCATTCTTAATTTTTCTTTTCATAGTCACCTTCATCACAGCATGTGCCCAGCCATCAGCCATCATAGTAACACTCAGGTGAGACGAGCGTTTCATTTCAAGGGGATGGGGGGTGATACACTCGAAATTGCCAGAATCCATATTTTAGGCCTAGGGACGGGTGTGGGAGGAAAGCAAAGCTCGATTGTGCAGGAGAGCACTCAGATGTTTGCCTGGCAGACGCAGGAGAAGTGAGTTTTCCCGTGTCAGAGAGGGAAAGGAAGGTCGTACCACCGCATGCTCCTCAGCTTCGTTCGGATGGGTCTTATTCTTGTCGTTTAGTGAAACATCTTTTGGGTGCCTTTGGTTCCCGAAGCCTCTGCCCTACAAGGTTCGACTTCAGGAGCCGAAAGCTGTCGCTGTCACCGTGTTAGCTACAAGGAACCTGGCCCCAGAGGAGGCCAGAGTCATTTCAGTGAAGTTGCTACATTGTGCATACAGCAAAATATATTATCTCCAACCTTGTAGCTAGTTAATACCTCCAGGATCAGTGACAATCCATGCTGGGTCCTCAGTTCAAAATGCTGCTTTCATTAATTTTACTATCATGTAAAATTTTGGAGTTGAACAAGAAAGGGCAGACTGCAAAATGTAACTTTTCAGTTGTTCGCATGGTGCTTTTTTTGTTATATTATAGATCACGTTTGTGTTCTTTTGCTTATATGAGAATTTGGAAGTTATCTTAATGAAAATCCTATTAAAAATGTCGAAACTAGCACATTCAAATCAGACTGCGGTGGGCGAAGGAAGGAAGGGGACAGGGTGCTGGATGGAGCAAGGGGAGCGCACCCACAGCAGCTCAGGGGGCTGGGGCTGCAGCGCGGGAAGGAGGGAGGGAAGGGAGTCAGTCCTTCTTCTAACCGTTGTCTCCTCCTTGGCTCCTCTCTGCCCCTGGCGGGAAGCACCTGCTGAGACATCATCCTTCGCAGGGCCTTGGGCTGCCGGCCTGCTTAGTCCGCACGTTCGGGCCTCCCTCCTGTGGGATGCTGAGTCAAATGTTTCCCCACCAATTCGTTCCTGGACAGTTAAGATGACGGCACAGGAAAGCCCCGCTGGCTTATTCAATCAGTTCCTCCGTCAGGAGACACTTAACAGAGTGGCAGCTATGTGTGTGGCATTGGACCAATGCTGTGAGAAAAGAGAGGGGTCGGGAATAGATGACAAGGGCGCTGGGCTTGGGGAAGTTTGCATCCTCTGCCTAGAACCCTCTGGGTATGGAGCGGAAAGGATAAGGTGCTTCATCGTCTGAAAATAGAGATCGTGCATAATCTGATTCCTTGAACTTTCATTCGACAGGAGATGTTAAACAATCCTCTTCTTTGAACGTTAATTCTACAAGAGACGTTAAATCACTGAGATAAAGGCTGCCCAGTTTACAGTGCTCGAATGTGGCAAATCACCAATTGGCTTGTAACCCAAAACTTCGGAAAAGGAGCCCTTTAATCTTCAGTAATTACAAAATCAATAGACTCCACTCGTCCCGCCATGTGAGAATTGCTTGGAACATAAGTTTTAGGAAAAGAAGAAACAATGAGATGGCTGAGAGAGATTCACTTTTTTCCTTTAAATTTTGACGCAGTCCCTATATGGTTTTTGACTATACCTTTAAAAAAAACTTTTTTTTTCTCTATGCTTTTCCTTGAGAAATTACATAACTTTCAGCGTACACACCTACCCTTATGGAAAGCGCAGGCAACCAAAGGTAAAGTGCTATCTATCTTTAACAGAAGCCCAGTGAGTGCCGCCTCTATACCTTCAGCCATGGTCCTCTGGCCCTCGTGAGTATTTACACGGAAACAACAGCGTAAATCAGAATTTCTCTCGTGTCTTCACTGGGGAGACTTCTATTCACTATAGGTTGAGCCACCAGCTGTCCTACTGAGCTAGCGTTAGCTAATTCTGGGGAACCAGCTACTTTGGCGGAGCATCTCTCGGGTCCCTGGCTCTGCGCTAAGCAGGTTTGATTCGACAGCCGTTTTCTTGAGGCCACCATTTCAAAGCGTTTCTTTCTTTCTCTTCACCTCAGGTCCGTGGAAGACGAGGAGAGACCTTTTGCGCTGGGGATGCAGTTCGTTCTACTGCGAACGCTTGGTATGTTCCTTGGCGTTCACGTGTGCCTCTTCGTTCGTCTTTGCGGATGGCAACTCCTCACTGTCCTTTAAAAATGGCCAAGTCAGGTCATTCGTTACCATTGAATTAGGGAGGATTTTACCGGTTAGCGGTGAGGGCACGGCTGCCTCGTATTCTGCTTTGAACTAAAAGCTGACAGTTCTGCCATTTGATGAAACAAAACAGAACCGACTTTAGGTCAGTTTCTTTTTCACCGTGAGCGTCAACTTGGGCTCAATTCCCCAGAGGGTTTTGTACAGTAAGGAATATTGAACCAAGCAATCGTGAGGGGCTTATGATCCTGGCTTTTAGTCCCCAAATGCCTTCTTACCATCAAAGGGATGGGGATTGGTGCTCACTTTATTGGTGAAAATTTCAATTCCTTTCCAGTTGTTTTTTTGGGGTGGGGAAAGA